ACATCAAGCAGATAAACATCGACATCAACACTTGGGAGGCAGCAGCTGCGGACAGATCTGCCTGGAGATGCAAAGTGTAGAAGGGACTCCAGCAATTCGAGGACGAACTGAAGAGGCAGGGGGAGGATAACAGACTTAAGAGGAGGTCTCGTCCACTGTCAGACGCACCCGCTTCGGCGTTTATCTGCGCTCGCTGCAGTCGGGACTGTCATTCTCGGGTTGGCCTTCACAGCCACAGCAGGCGCTGCATCCAACTAGACTACAACAACTAGATATCCAGGGCACAACTCCATAACCCCACGGGATTGACGGATGTCTACTATATAGAGTTGTGGAGTTGTGATCCCGCCCCGCTCTCTTGTTTGGCCACTCCGTCAACAGTACAACCGTCTAACCTAACCTGACACGAGCATGAAAGTCAGTGTGTGTGACAATAGAGTTACTTGGACCAGAGTTCTGGTAATTCTTTGGTGCTAACCAGACGCCTGCTAACCCAAGCAACCCATCTAACCCATCGAGTCTGTTTCAGAGAAAAATGTAGATATATGTGAGCCGTTACTGTTCCGTGTTGGTCGCATTTGTAACGATGGTTTAACCAACAAGACGCAACCGATTATTTGAGAGATGGAGAGTGAATGTCAGCGTGACTTTCAGGAAAATTTAGAGCCCAGGGATCGAAGTCTCAGGCGACGGAGGAGAGCTTGGATGAACAAAATAACGTCCTGAAATTCACTCCGATATGAGTGAGGTCGGTCAAATAACATGTGATGCAGCGAGCTTCAAATGACATTAGAGCATCTTGGAGAGAACGACATACATGCGCACGGTCACACTACAACACCATTATGAGGGGATTCAGGAAGGTTAGAAATAGCCTAGGCTACTCAATCCTTTTGAGATGTATCTCATTGCCTCAATAAACGTACTTGAGCTTGATTGGGTGATTCAACATCCGTAATCAGGCAGTGCTGTAGAGATGGAAGGAGGAGGAGGAGGAGGAGGAGGAGGAGGAGGGGAATGAGAGAGTCTGAATGATACGTACGAACGAGTTAAGGTTTGAGACGAGGGCCACCCGATGGCGGAGGGGTTCAGAGGGGACGATTAGCCATCATAGAGAAGGTGAGGGGACACACACGAGTGGCCTGAGGGGAAAACAAAAGTGGGAGAGTGGTCCAGGACGCCGGCAAGAGAGGTGTAAATTACCGGAGCTGCCCCAGGTCCACCTCAGGAGGCGCTCCTCCGGAGGTGGACGACAACCATAGACCTGACTCAAGTCGTCATCGGCCTTCCCACCCCAAGGTGTAACGTCGAGTAAACCGTCAGCTAAAGAGATCAACATTTCAGCAATTGACTTTGGGGAAGTGTTTCCTCCAGAGAGGCAGAGAATGAAGTATTTACCAGTAACTATGGTAGTTTAGTGAACAATACAATTGGTTTCAAGGGCCGAATGGAGACGGGAATTGAACAAATATTACTCAAACAAGATTAATTTGGCAGAACTGGAAGAACACAAAAAGAAAACAGTGTTATTAACGTCGTCCTAAACGTGACAATTAAATGTGTCATATTGGTTCGAAGTTTCAACATTACACGTCATTATTTGACACCGATATTTTGGTGGTAAATTATTTGATTTCTTTGGATAAGATTATTAAGCGAATATTCTTTCTATAACTCCCCCGCTCTCTGAATCTCTCTCTCTCCCCCTTTACCCGCTGTTTCTCTGCCTATCTCCACTCTGAAACGTCTCTTCTCTCCTTCCTCCCCTGGTGTCCATTTTTTCTACTTTTCCCCACGCACACTTTGCCAAAAAGTGGCGGCTGCCTGTTCCACAGTGGAAACATTTCTCCTGGTGTGAGAGAGGCAGAATGATGCATGTTCGCGCTCGTACGGCTACTCACCTAGTTGTGCTTGCGGAGAGTTGAGCTTCCGCTCATTGGTCCCGCCTCTCAACTCTCAATCTACTGGTGTACAGATTTCTGAGCTACTCGAGCTCTATCATATCTACATTTGGTACTGTATACGGAGTCAGCCTCCACCACATCACTTCCTAATGTATTCCATTTGTTAACTATTCTGACACTGAAATGTTCTTTGTAACGTCCCTGTGGCTCATTTGCGTACTCAGCTTCCACCTGTGTCCCCTTGTTCGTGTACCACAAATGTTAAATAATGGGTGCGTGTGAGTGTGCAACTGTGTATGCATTTACTATTTATACCTGCAGGATTGGTGCTACTAGCTCCTGGACTCCGTCTTTCTTTACCTTTGGTTGGCTAATGTACTGACTCTCGGCCTAATTTTCTCTGATATATTGATTACATATAATTTTTCTTTTTTTTTAGAAAAGAGAAAAAGAAAGAAAGTATCTTTTTTTTTTCTTTCACACATACTCCCCAAGATGAAGCCCATATTTAACAGCTGACTGCAACCCAGGTACCTATTTACTGCTAGGTGAACAGGGACATCAGAGTGAAGGAGACTCTGCCCATTTGTTTCCGCCTCGGCTGGAAATCGAACCCGGGCCCTTAGGACTAGGGCTACCGAGCGCTGTCTACTCAGCCGCGAGGCCCCTAGAGGGGACCCTGTATTCACCTAGTTGTATTCACCTAATTGTGCTTGCGGGGGTTGACCTCTGCTCTTTCGGTCCGCCTCTCAACTGTCAACCAATCATTTTTCACACACACATACACACACACACACACACACACACACACACACACACACACCACACACACACACACACACACACACACACAGCCCAGTAGGCTCAGGAATCTGTACATCAGTTGATTGGCAGTTGAGAGGCGGGACCAAAGAGCCAGAGCTCAACCCCCACAAGCACAATTAGGTGAGGCAATTACGTGAGTACACACACACACATCCCCAGAAAGCAGCCAGTAACAGCTGTCTAACTCCCAGGTACCTATTTACTTCTAGGTAACAGGTTCATCAGGGTGAAAGAAACTCTGCCCATTTGTCTTGCACCATCGCCGGGGATCAAGGCCGGACCCTAGGGATTACGATTCCAAAGCGCTGTCCACTCAGCCACAGGCTCCCCCATACCAACTCGTGTGTGCTTTTATTTCGGCAACTTTCAGGTCATTATATAGGTTGCATTTTTTTATGTCTTCCAAATCTGAAGTAATAATTCCTTCATGTTGACTAACAAGAGCTGCCATATATATATATATATATATATATATATATATATATATATATATATATATATATATATATATATATATATAATATATTCCCTCTCACATACGTTCCGCGTGTTCCTTCCAAAATCCACGGAAACTTCAATAGACCGAAAGGTGACTTTTTTCCCATCTCCGGGTCCTTTTTTTTGCCCCACCTTGCATTGCATGTCATCAGTGTGGGTGATTGAGAAAGAGGTGGGAGAAGAATGTGATCTAAACTCGCCATTTTACTGTCCCAGAGGTAATTGCACTGTGAAGCAGGTTCATTCCCTAAAGGGGACAGCGACAACACGCCGGCTGTGTCTGACGAAGATGTGATTTGATGGCTGCTTGACACTGAGAGGTCAGTGATGATGAAAATAATAATAGGATAAGGATTCTTCACTGTTGAAAAGAATGTGGAATGATCATTGTTTATTTTGAATGAAGAATTACCGTCTCTGTCTCTGTCTGTCTGTCTCTCTCTCTCTCTCTCTCTCTCTCTCTCTCTCTCTCTCTCTCTCTCTCTCTCTCTCTCTCTCTCTCTCTCTCCGTCCCCTAAATAAGATTCGGCTTTGTGTCACCCTTTCCAGAATTAAACTTTAATGATACCAGCATTTGCATGTACGACCTGTTCCCAGTTTGTATTAATTGTGAGCACAGAGGCCATTCCAGGTCCCGTGGGGGCTACGGGTACAATCGACCCACAACAAATACGACACAAGACTTAAAATTGCGTTCCAGTTGAAGGCGTCGGGCTGGGTGTCCAATATTCCAGGTTCCAGTCTCGCCAGTGGCAGTTTTTCCTTCCTTCTCTCTCTCTCTCTCTCTCTCTCTCTCTCTCTCTCTCTCTCTCTCTCTCTCTCTCTCTCTCTCTCTCTCTCTCTCTCTCTCCTGCCAGCTTCTCCACCAAACACACTCTCCACATCACCTCCAATACTTGCCTCACTTCCCCCTCCACTTCCCCCTCCCCCCTCTCCTTCCCCACCTCCTCCACATCTTGAAGTCTAATAAGGCTCTCCACTGCTGACAAGTCACGGTTCGCTGCCCTCTCATGGCTGCCATCCGCCGCCTCTGAAGATTGGAGAGAGAGAGGGAGAGGGAGAGAGAGAGAGAGAGAGAGAGAGAGAGAGAGAGAGAGAGAGAGAGAGAGAGAGAGAGAGGAGGGGGGAGGGGGGTTTGGAGGAGTGACAGAGACGGTGCTAGGGGCGAGGGGGGGGGAGAAAGAGTGTTTGAGGTCAAAAGAAGAAAAAGCTGAGGCGATAATAATGAAAAGAAATTATGGTGAAGCTCTTGAGTCTTGAGAGAAGGAAGGACAGTGTGAGAGAGAGAAAGTGAGCGAGAGAAAGAGTGAGAGACAGAGAGAGAATAAAGTAAGAATGAATTACGGTAGGTATGGATGGAGGGAAATATAGGAAAGGGAGAGAGAGAGAGAGAGATAAAAAAAAGCCAGTAAATAAAGGTAATGGAAAAGAAACGAAAGAAAAGAGTGAGAATGAGAGATGTCGGAAGGATAAGAGAGGGGAAAGTAAAAGGGGAGAACAAAGGAGAATTACACATAAGTCTGGTGTAGGAGACAGTAGAAAAGTAGGTTAATTGAGCAGAAGGAGAAAGAGAATAAGGAGGAGTTGAATAAGGAAGAGGAGGAGGAAGAGGTAATAGGAGATAATAGGAGGTAATAGGAGACAAGTATTAGGAGAACTGTCACGATGGATCATGAACGTATAAAGGAGACTTAGAAAATATAAAATAATGTAAAATATGGATTTAAAATGCTGATCGTGATAAAAAAAAATGAGGGAGAACGAGAGAGAAACGAGAGCCAGCCATTGTCTAGCGCTGAGAGCCAGCCATTGTCTAGCGCTGAGAGCCAGCCATTGTCTTGGGCTGAGAGCCAGCCATTGTCTAGGGCTGAGAGCCAGCCATTGTCTAAGGCTGAGAGCCAGCCATTGTCTAGGGCTGAGAGCCAGCCATTGTCTAGGGCTGAGAGCCAGCCATTGTCTAGGGCTGAGAGCCAGCCATTGTCTAGGGCTGAGAGCCAGCCATTGTCTAGGGCTGAGAGCCAGCATTGTCTAGGGCTGAGAGCCAGCCATTGTCTAGGGCTGAGAGCCAGCCATTGTCTAGGGCTGAGAGCCAGCCATTGTCTAGGGCTGAGAGCCAGCCATTGTCTAGGGCTGAGAGCCAGCCATTGTCTAGGGCTGAGAGCCAGCCATTGTCTAGGGCTGAGAGCCAGCCATTGTCTAGGGCTGAGAGCCAGCCATTGTCTAGCGCTGAAAGTCAGCCATTGTCTAGCGCTGAGAGCGAGCCATTGTCTAGGGCTGAGAGCCAGCCATTGTCTAGGGCTGAGAGCCAGCCATTGTCTAGGGCTGAGAGCCAGCCATTGTCTAGGGCTGAGAGCCAGCCATTGTCTAGGGCTGAGAGCCAGCGATTGTCTAGGGCTGAGAGGGAGCCATTATTTAGCGCTGATTGCGAGCATTATCTAGCGCTGAGATTGAGCCATTATCTAGCGCTGAGAGCGAGCCATTATCTAGTGCTGAGAGCCAGCCATTGTCTAGCGCTGAGAGCCAGCATTATCTAGCGCTGAGAGCCAGCATTATCTAGCGCTGATAGCGAGCATTATCTAGCGCTGAGAGTGAGCCATTATCAAGCGCTGAGAGCCAGCCATTGTCTAGCGCTGAGAGCCAGCCATTGTCTGGCGCTGAGAGCGAGCCAGAAGCCACACTGATCCGTCGGAATGTTGATGTTATACATCGAATCACAAGGCGAAAGGAGATTTGATTTACACATTTTATGGGCGAAAGGAGAGGGGGAGTTTTCTGGGCGTTTAGAGCGGTGAAAAGGGTAGGGAAAAAAGGGAGAAAAAGGTGGGGAAAAAGGGAAAAAAAGTGTGGGAAAAAAGGGAGAAAAGGGTGGGGAAAAAAGGGAAGAAAAGGGTAGGAAAAAAGGAAGAAAAGGACACGTAAAACACAATTTGGATCACAAAATTGGGTTTCCCTATTCTTCGAGTAAGTTAAATTGGACTTAAACCCAAATTCATCCCTCCCCCCGTCCTACAGCCAAATACGTCACATTTCGTACGGAATCGACAGATCAGTTAAGCAATTCAACGTGCCAGTAAAAGTTAAAAAAAAGTAATATTGCCGTTTTCTATGCATCGGCCTCCATAGATTAGGTACGTTGCGTTCGTTCGTACGTTTCTAGTAAGGCCAAACAGTATGAATTGATTACGTAGTGGCAACGGGGAACAGCAAACTTGGAGACTTTTATCTTAAATGGGAAATAGGCCCATCTAAATGGGAATAAATGGGTCTAATTTGCACTTTATAGTCATCGAGAGGTTGTGGGGAGGGGGATTATAACTCTTATTTCCTGACCCCTTCAATTATAACTCTTATTTCCTGACCCCTTCAATTATAACTCTTATTTCCTGACCCCTTAAAATTATAACTCTTTCTCCCTGATTTGTTCATTCATAACTCTTCGTCCCTTCCCTCACTCCTGACTCTTACTTATTCTCAGAACTCATAACCGTCCTTTCCACAATTCATTAAACCACACACAACTCTTCACTCACTTATAACCCTCCCAGATCCCTCTCATCTACCGTTCATAACCTTTCCCCCTTCCCTCTCTCCCTTCCACCAATCATAAACCTCACTTCTCTCCATCATTTATAATCATCTCTTCCTCACAAAACTGATAAACCTCCCTACCTTCCTCCCCTCATTTATAGCTTTCCATCTTACCCACCACTCATAACTCCCCCCCCCCTCTCCCACCACTACTCATAACCCCCCTCCTCTCCCACCACTCATAACCCCCTCCCCTCTCTCCCACCACTCATAACCTCTCCCCTTCTCCCTCTCCCACCACTCATAACCTCCCCCTCCCACCACTCATAACCCCTCCTCTCTCCCACCACTCATAACCCCGTCCCCCCTCTCCCACCACTCATAACTCCCCTCTCCCACTACTCATAACCCCCTCCCCTCTCTCTCACTACTCATAACCTCCCCCTCCCACCACTCATAACATCTCTCATTGATGTTCCTCTCACGTTGCAGACAACGGTTCACCAAATCTCTGTCTCTGTTGCTTGTAACAAAATGAATGAAATAGAGAAATTTATGCAAGAGTTGTTTTCCGGCTTCGTTTCCCCGACCAAAAGAGGCCGAGAACTGCCATGAATTTATAAAACAGCTTGCCGTTCACGTGTATACTTTGTTGCTGTTGATCAAGCTAACTATTGCCTCTGGCAGACATCTCGGTCCATTAAGATATGTAAAAGGTTGAATTGGAAAATAAATTAACTTTTGCATTGAACAGAAGTACCTGACGTGTCAATGTTCAGCTTTTTTTAACCTTTTACTCTAAATGTTGTCATCAGTAGGACGCTTGACTGCAATGTTCAGATCAATAGGATGTTTCACTCCAGATGTTCAGATCAATAGGATGTTTCACTCTAGATGTTCAGATCAGAGGGAACCTATCATCAGTAGGCTGTTGTACTCTAAATGTTTAATTTAGTAGAGCACCTTTGGCGGTAAAGATCATTGTCTAGTTTTAACTGGTGATTTTTTTGGGGGGGTGAAGGTGGGTATAAGGGGTTCCACATAGCCGCTGCACATTCCAGCACTGGTCTCACATAGGTAGTATACAACAGTTTTTTTTTTAAATAGTTCCCTGTTCAAGTTACTGAAGGGTTTGTTGTTTGCCATCTTCCCCTATGCTGCCTATTTACATATTATATACAAAATTTCCACCTTTTTACATATTCAGTAAAGGTATATAGACTCCTGGTATGTAGACAATATGTCACCTCTACGTGAATCTGTACTTGAATGCTAGAGATAAATTTTGCATTCTAGTTGAAAGAGCTTATTCATTTTTTTATGTAATTACTTAAAACTTCGAACAAATATTTGTAATCCTTTACAATCATTTTAAAATCTCTATACACACACTTCAAATCGTATTATAAACGAATCGTTTTTTAAACACTTTGACGCTCTATCGCGAACAAGGCGAAACATAAAAATTTAGTTTTGTGTTCAAAATTTTTGTTTATTTTCGAAAACTCTAAACTTCGACAGTCGTTGACAAATGATAAAAAAATAAAAAAAGTAAAAAAAAAAAATAAAAAATAGGACAAAGTCCATTATCCCATTTTGTTTTGCGCGTTAAAATTCTATCTTTAGGTCCCTGGTGCACTCTGGAAATATCTAGAGCCAGCGTCCAGAATTTTACCTTCCCCTCCTGCGGAAATGGTCTGCCTGTGATAGAGCGATTGAAAACAAACGAAAATAGAAGATTGCTTTTGTCTACTCTTTCTCTCTCTCTCTCTCTCTCTCTCTCTCTCTCTCTCTCTCTCTCTCTCTCTCTCTCTCTCTCTCTCTCTCTCTCTCTCTATATATATATATATATATATATATATATATATATATATATATATATATATATATATATATATATATATATATATATATATATATATATATATATAGTAGTAGGCATCCATCAGTCTCGGGGAGACTATGGAATTGCGCTCTGGTTGTCGGTCTGGAGTGGCCCCACCAGGGCGCAAAGCCAGGGTAGCTTGATTCGGGGGAGAAGCTGTTGCCCAGGCAGCAGGTCCCCGAACCTGCTGCCTGGTGAAACCCGAATATATATATATATATATATATATATATATATATATATATATATATATATATATATATATATCTACATTTTAGTGAGGTGGATGGGGTGAGGTGGCATTAATAGGGTATTAATTTCATCAACACAAGACAGAACACGAAACAATGGGTATTGAATAGAAGTGTTTGTAGAAAGCCTATTGGTCCATATTTCTTGATGCTTCTATATTGGAGCGGAGTCTTGAGGTGGGTAGAATATAGTTGTGCATTAATTGGCTGTTGATTGCTGGTGTTGACTTCTTAACGTGTTGACTTCTAATATGTATATATATATATATATATATATATATATATATATATATATATATATATATATACACCACAAACTTGCATAAACCACAAATCGAATGTATCAAAAAGACTCCTCTCCATGAGAGGTTCGGACCTTAGACTACCAGGAGCAATGAAATCACTGACAAGTTCAGTACCCTGACCACAAGACTATTCAAAAGTATTGGATAGTGGAGACTATGTACGCCAGGAATCGAACCCATGGAGTCGAAGATATCACCACCCAAACGTACACAGTACCGTGACCACCGTACCACAAATGGTACAATTATTGTAAGCTTACCAAATTGCCTTACCTGTAACACAGTGATTGTATAACATAATTAATTGTAATTAACATAATCGCATCAATAATTAAGGAGTTAATATCGAAGCCTTTTCGAATTAAAATATTCAGTTTTATAAAATTATTATCAATCCTCATAATGCCCAATAATACTAACAATCATCATCACAATCAATTGAACTATAATTTTGTTAAATTATAGCCCTAATAGCCAACACAATAATAACTTTATTAATCAACTAATCAACTATAGCAATGCTTGGATTCGAAGCCTTGATCTGAATTATCCTAAGTACCTGGGTACCTTTCCTCTTGGACTGGAATACCATTAATATTAATCCTACGAATCATTAATGCAATATTTGCAGTCATGGATAAATCATAGCTCGAGTTTCAATACATTTTACCTAGCTTGATGAGAGCGGCAGGTAATCCTTGATGATGATCATATGCCTCATTCTGGAATCTTACCTGCAAAAAAAAAAGGGAGATTTTGAGGAGTAGTAAACATTTAGACACCACAAGTTAATGTTCATAGTCTTCATATCAAGTAAAAAGATAATGAACTACATACAGAAATCTCAATAGCGTGATGCATCAAATGAAAAAATCCACAAGGGCCGTGACTGGAATGCTATCGGACGTGGGTTCGAATCCTCATCACGGCCCTTGTGGATTTGTTCATAAAGTTAATGAGTGTAATTGTATGAGTGTAGCTGGGATTAATTTATGATTCTTGCTTGCATTAACGAGTAATTGAAGAAGGGATTAATGCATGATTGTAGCTGAAATTGATGTATGATTGTATCTTGGATAAATGTATAATTGTAGCAGGGATTAATGTACGTTTGTTGCTGGGATTAATATTTGAATATAAGCAGGAATAATGCATCAGGTAGTAGAAATTAATCCCTTAATAATCCAAAATTTTTTACTCAATTAATCTCTGAGAAGAGATAGTGTTTAAATTGTGTGTGTTCGATGTATTATGTGTACTAGAATGTATTCTTGTAGTTCAATCAACCCGTCCTCCTAAAATGATATAGTAACTATTTGATGGGAAGTACCAATATGTAGTGATGGACCACCAGAATGTTGAATTTTTGTATTATCGAATTTGGACAAATAGGAACTTTTCTTTTTAACTGCGACATAAATATAA